ACTTTTTTGATCCACTTCAAATGTTGACTACTGCATTTCAGGTTTATTTCAATGAACAAAATGTTTTTAATAGTTTAAGTTAATGATACACTCTAAAAAAATGCTGGGTTAAATACAACCCAGTGCTGGGTAAAATAGGGAAGCATTTTTTAGAGTGTAGTAACCATGAAAAGTACTAGTTTCACATTTCACAGGTCAGAATGAAAGAAAACGTAACACTCAAATTATGTTTGCTGACTCGAGTTGTGAGACTGTGGGTGTGAATGAGGGTTAACGTTCCTACAGCAAAACAATCTGTGTGTGTTAGAGAGAGGCATTTAAAGTCCGAACAGAGACACATTCAACTACATTCTCGTCTGAAGGGAAGATGAGGCTGTTTATCGCGAGCGTCTGTGTGCTGCTGCTGCTTCTGGGTTTTTCATGCATCACATCTGAACTTGTAGACAAATTCAGTAAATGTGGTGACCTTTTCTACCATCAAACGCCTCCAGTGTACATGCTTTTTTCTTTAATAAAGCTTGCAGTCGCAAATACTGGCACATGGGAATCGTCTCATGGACTTATTGCATGTGTGTGCACAATTACACAGGCCTAAGTGAGAAGAAAGTTTTAATAAAAAGCATGGGGTGTTGACATATCAGATTATAACAATTTAATTATAACAACTAAACTCTTCCAACTACAAATATTACATGTGGTTTAAATTTTAATTGCTGCATTTAATGTGTGATCAGACAGGTTTTGATTTAAATCTGTCAGACCGTATTCATTCATACACAGACAGTAAATGACAGCACTCTGAATAGGGCAGTGAGTTGGAGTTCATTTTATTAGTGTTATACTGAGTAAAGCTGCTCAAAATGAATGTTTTAGAAGCATAATGCAAACACTCTACTCCTTTAGCGTCCTTTTCAGTCTATTAAAACGGCCGTTGACATTCAAATCGACTTGCTTTGTTAAAGAAAATAGAATTGACAGTACATTTAGGCACACCGCTGACAGATACTATACACCAATATGCACAGTTCATGTTCATACATACGGGGATTCAGAAAACAAAATCAAATCAGAAACATCTGTATGGACCATTTGGTGGATGTAAAGGGGAAGTTGCTCCTGTGTGACTCGACCAATCACAGCAGAGTTTAGCTTCTCAGTGCCAGCCAATCACAGTAGAGAAAGACTACGAACAGGCAAATCACACGAGTAAAACTGCTGGTCAATCACAGCAAACAGCCACAAAACAAGAGCCAAAACCCTTCAATCAAGAGTTCAAGTGCTACTTTTATTGTTATTTAAACACACAATTAGTTCTCATCTATTCGCATCAATTTCTGCTGATCTGAACCAGGTCTCAAGCATCAATCTCATGCGAGACGAAAGAGCATTTACAGGTCATATTTTGCTCCAAAATCAAAATAAATAAATTATGTTTGCATAGACAATGAAATGAAAACACTTTCTTTCCCATGATTTTTCTACCCAATTCTCATTGTTAAAATCAAAGAACCTAATTATTACATAAACATAATTTTATTTGTATTTCAGTTTACATCAGAATAATGATTTAATTATTTGTAATAATTTAAGTGGCACAGTTTGACGTTCTTCAATAATCTCATGCGAGACGAAAGAGCATTTACAGGTCATATTTTGCTCCAAAATCAAAATAAATAAATTATGTTTGCATAGACAATGAAATGAAAACACTTTCTTTCCCATGATTTTTCTACCCAATTCTCATTGTTAAAATCAAAGAACCTAATTATTACATAAACATAATTTATTTGTATTTCAGTTTACATCAGAATAATGATTTAATTATTTGTAATAATTTAAATAACATTATTTTTATGCATAATATACATAAAAATATAATATAATCATAAAATATTTTTATATTATATTATTGTTCATTTTTAAAATTATTTTTAATTTATATTTTAATATATAATAATTTATTTAAATTGTAATATATATTTGAGATTTTTTTCACATTACAGTAATCATAATCATAAAAATGTTCTTAATCATTTTAAAAAAGCATGTCACAATGCAAAACAAAACCAACAAAAATAAACTTTGGGATGAAATATGACCCGTGCATGTTCTTGTAAAGTGCAGATATTTCACAGAGGTGACTGGAGAGTGTTTAACAGTAATAAAGAGTGTTTAAGATCTGTGTGCTCAAACGCTAGATGACCTCTGACCTCGGCAGTGTCTTTCGCGTCTCTGCATGTTTTGATCATCCGTTCACCTACAATGTGCTTTCACTCGTTTCCTAAAAGCAAAACGTCCCAAAATTCAGGAGTGATGAAACATTAAAAACAACAACAAAAAACATCCCCTACACAAGCATTAAAAAGCCAGACTTATAAAACAAGTCCTTTAAAATAAGCCATTTACAACAACGGAATGTTTCGGTGGTTTCGAAGAGTTTCCTGTGGTTTTGGATTGGCTTCTGAAATTCTTCACTCGAATATACTTGAAAACTATCCCATATACGATTATTATATAACATGCATTAAAGAAACATATTGCACAAAAACGAAGGACATATTTTCTGATTGAAAATGGGATTCGGACAGTCGATATCTCTTTAGAGCGTGTGCGTACGAGGGCTACGTCTAAACACGCGTCTCTTGGTCTTGTATTTAAGGCTGAATCTATATCTCAAGCTGAAACAGTCTTCGGCATCAGACAGTTGCAGTTTAGTGCTACACTTGCTATTCTAAAATAAAGTCATTAAAAAAAAAAAAAAAAACACATGAACACGACCCTCCACTGGATTGAGTTATAAAAACTGGACGCACACAAACATCGACACATACATTCGTTAAAGCATATCTCCTTATGCGAAGAGCTCCACGTAACCGTCTGAGACGGTCATCCAAATATACGCTTGAATTCCACCATCTCTGTCCGCTTTGATATGTTTGAGGGCTTTAGATAATCATTAAAGGAATAGTTCAACCAAAAATGAAAATTTGCTGAAAATGCACTCATCCTCAGGCCATCTATGAGTTTGTATCGTTCCACAGATTTGGAGAAATGTAGCATTGCATCACTTGCTCACCAATGGATGCTCTGCAGTGAATGGGTGCCGTCAGAATGAAGAGGCCAAACAGCTGATAAACACATCACAATAATCCACAAGTAATCCACACCACTCCAGTCCATCAGTTAATGTCTTGAGAAGCTAAAAGCTGCGTGCTTGTAAGAAACAAATCCATCATTAAGAGGTTTTTAACTTCAAACCATTGCTTTCAGCTAAAATTTGAGTCCTCTATGCATAATATTGCTTCTTCCAGTGAAAAAGTGGTCTGATCTGAATCAGGAGAGAAATCTGCACAGATAAAGCAACCGTTTACAAGCCAAAACAGTCCAAAACAAATATGTGTGTGGGTTTTGATGTGAGACAACAGTAAATGGACTTCACTGGAGGACGTGTTAATATTTAATTATGGAGTCATATTATGGCCAGAAGCAATGTTTTGAAGTTAGAAACTTCATAATGATGTATTTGTTTCTTACAAACACAGCTTTTGGCTTCACAAGATGTTAACTGATGGACTGGAGTGGTGTGGATTACTTGTGATGTTTTTATCAGCTGTTTGGACTCTCATTCTGACGGCACCCATTCAGGATCCATTGGTGAGCAAGTGATGGAATGCTACAAATCTCCAAATCTGATGAAGAAACAAACTCATCTACATCTTGGATGGCCTGAAGGTGAGCACATTTTCAGCTTTTTTTTTTTTCTCTCTCATTTTTTCCTGAACTATTCCTTTAAGCCATTTTAGATTAGCTTAAGTATTACATATAAGCAAAAGACAGAGGGGCGTGGCCTGTTTTAAACCCCACCCACTTCATGCAACCGATTGGTTGGCAGGATAACGTTACGCTTATTTCAGTTTCAGTGCCACAAAACGATCATAAAACATCGCTGCCGACCCTCCTCATATGGTTCTGCTTGTAATGAGTGTTAAGGTGCATAGGTTGCTTCGGTCGGATTTCCTTCACCATACAGTACTGACGATGAGGCGACCAATGCCAAATACAAAACAAACCCAAAATAAACCAAACAAATCGTATATATCTACACAGTGTAATTCAAAATATCAGATCAGAAATGCACGGCAAACGGAAAGAGCGATGGCTCGGTGCTCGGGCGCTGCACTCTTTCGTAGTGGTTCAGACGTGACCGAACGCTTCACGATGATAAGATGACAGTGTCAGTACAGTGCTTTAAACGAGAACAGCCATGAGGCACTAAGAGGGAGGTGTGTGTTCGAGCGTTTGCCGCCGGGATGCACGTCACCTTCGGGGCAGCTCTGATGCGGCGGGCGGCCGCTGGCTCCTCCTCCCCCTCTGCGTCGGCGGGAGATGCGTCCGTCTGTCACCTCTTTTGCAAGCTGCGCAATTTCTGTGAATATCTGAGCACGCGCGGCGAGCGCGAGTGGAGCTTCACGAACAGCTCGGGGAACTTGTACTGAGGAAACAAGGTCTCCAGGAAGCCCTCCAGAAAGACGCAGGCCAGCCGGCGGTTCAGCGGTTGGTGCTGGAACATGTCAAAGACGCGCAGGATGCCCTTGCGTGTGGTTTCCGCCCCGATGATGTGTTTCAACTCATCTGATGGGAGGAGAACATTTCAAGTCATGTCAAATTGATTTGTATAGCGCTCTTCACAATAGACTCAAAGCAGCTTCACAGAAAATCATGATGTTAATATTTAATATTTATGTCTATGTAGTTATTTTAGTACATCAAGTTAAACTAAATGAAAATCAGAAATGTTTCCTTGGCCATTAGCTGTAATAAATTAAACTTAAATGTTTTTATTATTATTTTATTTTATTTCATGTTTTTTATTTCAACTAAAAATATATTTTTTATGGTTTTAGTTTTAGTTAACAATAACTGTGGTACTATATATGTATATATATATATATATATATAGCTACAAATATACCCCAGCGACTTGAGACTGCTTTTGTGCTCCAGGGTCACATATTTCGCCTGCGCATGCATGTGAAAACGATTGACAAACGGCACACTAAGTTTCTAAGTTACATAAAAACAGGCAACACAAACAGCCAACATGCAAAGCGTCCAGTTTGGCAGGTCTCTGGTCTTTTGCACATTTCTCGCTGTGCTCTGAGATTCTCCAGACGTGCTCTACCTTAAATATGGACTGTTTAATATCCTGGCCAAGTTTCTCGGACATGCGGCCCATGTCCGCCGAGACTTTGGACACTCCCTCGGCCAGGCTGTCCGGCAGTGACTTCACGGCATTGGACACGTTCCGCATGGAGCTCCGGAGAGGATTCACAAACGTGTCCATCTGTCCGAGTCCAGAGAACAGGACAAGTTTACAAAAAACGGCGAATCCAAGCAGACAACAACTCTACGCCGCTGCCGCTCTGGAGTAATACATGGAGGTGCGTTCACGCTCACAGAGATTTCATCACTGTTCCTACTGAACTGCAGTATTCGGATCGTGTCTTTGCTGTTGCTATTTAATGTTAAACCTGCTCAACTTTTTCTGTTCCTCAGGTTGTCCTGAAATGCCAACTCTCATTGAAAATGAATAACTTTCACTAACTGCTAACTTTCGCCACTGCAAATCGCTGTTTGTGTGAACGCCCCTTCAGTCTGTCGGTCTCTCTATCTATCCATCCGTCCGTCTACCAAAAGGGTGTCAAAGTAACGCAGTTTGTTAGATAAAATCTATGGGGTTTCATATAATTTTATTAGTGATTTTTGTTTCAGTGCATAGATTTAATGATTAGACTGCATAATTGCTAAAAAAAAAAAAAAGTCTCCATGTTTTATTTTATAAGCATTAAAAAAGTTTTTTGCAAAAATATTGACCCCAAACTTCTGAAACAATAGTGTATATGATTTTTTTTTTAAAGAAATTGATACTTTTATTCAGCAAGGATGCATTAAACTGATCAAAAGCGACAGTAAAAGACATTTATAATGTTACAAAAGATTCTATTTCAAATAAAAGCTGTTCTATTGAAGCTTCCATTCATCAAAGAATCCAGAAACTACAAAAATACATGGGCAGCACAACTGTTTTCAACACTGATAATAATCAGAAATGTTTCTTGAGCAGCAAATCAGCATATTACAATGATTTCTGAAGGATCATGTGACTTAGCTTTGATCAGAGAAATACATTACATTTTAACATATATTCACATAGAAAACAGCTATTTGAAACTGTAATATTTTACTGTTTTTACTGTATTTCTGATCAAATAAATGCAGCCTTGGTGAGCAGAAGAGACTTCTTTTAAACCATTAAATATTAATCTTTTTTTTTTTTATGTTGGAGCATATGAATAAATTTATTAACTGTCATTTATTGAAAATTTAGGGAATGCCTTGTTTGTTTTATACCAAGATATAATTTTATAAGCTAAATCTCCCACCCTGCTGGACATGAAACATCTTCACTGATCATATTAAACATTTTCTGTATGTGGCATTTCTCACCTTGCGTGCGAAGTCTCCTTTGCCCTTGCTGTAGGCTTTGTTCTCCAGGAAGTCATAGACGTAGGGGATCAGCATGGGACAGGCCTTCACCATCTCAGGATTCAACAGCAGCTGCAAGACACATTCAGCTCTCAGCACACCTGAGCCAGCAGAACCCAAAATAAACACCCGTCCTCGTCTGACCCACCTGCAAATAAGTGTTCAGGTCCTTCTTCCTCTTCTCCAAAAACTCCCTGTCCATGTTGTTAAAGGTCTTTTTGCCAGGAAGCTTGAGAATCGGACCAAGGCTCTCAAACTAAAGACGGGACACATGGGTTAGAAAACATCACGTGTATCAAACCCAATTAGATCAGATTGTGTTCAGTCAAAATATTTTGGCTCATCCAGGACTCTGTGTTCGCAAAACTTCACAGAATTTAAACGCCAGTCAACAAGTTCAACAAGTTTTTTTGCATGTTCGCTTAATAAAAATGTAAACTAATTTGGCTAATAATTAGTGGTGATTTCAGCTACCAATATTGCTGAACACACAGAAATATATATGTTTAAGTAAAAAAGCCTTTTGCTTTTTTTAAATATAGTTCTTACATTTTTTAAATGAGAGGTGGGGTAAAATTATGACATTATCCCCAAATCTCATTAAGGGATTAATAAGAATTTCTGCATCAGTGTAGTTTAATGTAGTTTTTTTTTTCTTATAGCAAATGAGAAAATAAAATCTACAAAAAAAAATACAATTAACAATTTAAAGGCAGTACAACAAACTACCTAGATGTATACATTTTCGACAATTTTGACAAAAAAATACACACAACAAATATATATATATATATATATATATATATATATCGATGTGGCATGGTAAAATGTGTTAAACACAAATGCATCGCAATGAAGACAGCCCAATAAAGCAAAAATTTAATAAAGACAAAAGTGATTTCCAACCACGTTGATCTAAGTTGTACTGCCTTTAAGAAATGCAGATTTTAATTACCTTTTTTTTTTTTTTTTATTTTTTTCACATTAAATTGATCAAAAGTGATCAAAAGAGACAGAAATTTATAAACAATTTATATTTCAAATAAATGCTGCTCTCTTTTGAACTTTCTATCAGAATATTAGAATGATTTCTGAAGGATTTCTGAAGGATCATGTGACACTAAAATTCAGTTTTGCCATCACAATAAAATTATATTTTAATATACATTAAAATAAAAAATAGTTGTTTAAATTGAAATATAGAAATACAGTATAAAATCTGCATAACTTAAAGGCAATACAACAAACTGATCTGATAGGTGACGTGTGATGTTCATTAAAGGGTAAATCTGTGTCACCTGCTCTGTGATGCGCATGTGGAAGTCGTGGAAATCGCTGTAGCGGCGGTACGTCTTCCAGATGTCCTCGCTGCCGTCGGAGTTCTTGCGTATGACGGTGAGGGTATAGAGGGCGTACGTCTTCCCGTGATCGTTACACACGCCTGCCACAGGAAGTAGGTTTAGAAAAGCATCAGCTACAGCACACCGGGAGAGAGAGGCAGGAGCGATGGGAACGATGGCAGGGGAAAGAGAACGAGAACCACAAGAAAGGCACAGCAGAGAGAGGACAAGACAAACGACAGAGGGACAGAGGAAAAAAAGATGAACGTAAGAAAATAAAGAAATAAAGCTGATGAAATGATAGTCACAATAAGAACAAACACAAAGTGGCAGGAAAAGTGTTGCTCCTTCAAATAATTGAAGCTTGAAAATGAGAAGAAGTGATGACTAGAGAAGAGAGGAAAGTTCACCAGCACACACACTGAACAGCTCATTAAATCACACACAGACAATTACCATTTACTTGAGTCGTTACTAACACTCAATTAAACAGTTTAACATTTCAAAGAATCTAAATGAATAAAGTAGAACTTAGGCACTTTTTTAGAGAGGTCATATTTCACCTCAAAATCAAACAGGACAAATAAATTACATAAATTGCATAAAGAAAATTAAGCTTATTTTAGGACAGTTGTGATGTTTGTGACATTATTTTCATTACTTCCCAATAGGGCTGTGCGATATTGAAGAAAAATGCGACATGCGATAACTCATTAAATAATGCGATATTCGATATGCAATACGATAATGCTTAAAGTGCCACATGCTCAGATGAAACAGTTTTTTCAGTGAAGTCAGGAGTTTCTGTAAAACCACAACAAATTCCTTGTGTTAAGTGGTGAATAAAGCTCATTTTGATTTTAATAAGAAAGCACCCCTACAACAACTTCTGAAAGTGAACAGTAGTATGTTAAAATGATTACACTAGTGTTAAAATGGCATTTTTATGTAAAGCTCAAGTAAAACACTACCGTTCACTTTCAGAAGTTGTTGTAAAGAATCAGAATTGTTATTAGAATCAGAATCAGAATGAGCTTTATTCACCGCTTAAGTGTGCGCAAACACAAGGAATTTGTTGTGGTTTTACAGGAACTCTTGGTACATACA